GAACATGAATTACGACTATGAAATAAGTATTATTGGACTAATAAAAGTAGATATACTTTAGTTGGATTGGTTTTTAGAGATACTTCAGATATGTATTAATCTATAAATCCATAATCATGAAGTTTATACATGTTCTAAAGTTCTATACCAAAATTTATGCATTTACTGACTCACCTAAATATCATGATCTGTTTGACTTTATTGTTATACGTATCAGCATTATAAACTAAAGTAAGCAGTTAGTGAATGAATAAAACTTAACCTTATAACCTAATGAAATTCCATAGTCTTGTCATTTGAATGATAAGTAGTTATTACAACATAAAAATCTTTTGCAAACCTGCATCCACTCAAAGTGTCATACACTTCACTACAATGTATGGACAGAGTACTATAAATTATGCGGATTTTCAGCTCAGGTAGATGCTTTCTATTGCAATGAGTTCTCTGGGCTCTGAAACTTATTTACAATGACTTCACTGGAGTTCAGGATACCGTCATCAGCACTTCATATAGAAATAAGGAATCAACCTTTTGTAATGATCTTTTCTGTAAATAGCTATCGTCGAATGTCTTACTCATTTCGTTTGTTTTAAGATTCTTGTTGACTGCTTTGTTCAGCTGACCTCTAGTCAAGTCACTGGTTGATACTTTGCACGTTTATCATTAAATAGCATTCATATTGACATGTCAGTTAACTGGAAATTCGCCTAAATACCAAGTTTCCAGAAATTTACTGGAACTTTCCGAACCTTCGAGATCCAGAATTTTGGAATTTCAGTGGTCGAATTTGTATTCATAAGATTAATTATTATAATTAATAACAGGAAGTGTCATTTTACTGCTAATTGGTGTTCGTTTATTGATACCATTGGAAATGAACTCATCGATAGACGAGAGGAGGAGCAAATTAAATAAAGCGTTGAGAAATAATAAACATAACGAACAAGCGTAACCGCTGTAACGTGGTTGATTTTTAGTCATTTACCTAAAATTACTTCACTGTTAATTTCTAATACTTCAGGATATTAGATGTCAATGATTTAAAACCATAGGAGGAAACAAAGCCCAAGAACAAAATTTTTTCACAAGACATATAATGTAACCTAACGACACGACTAAAACTAGTAGTCAATGACTGCATAGACTAATGCCACGTTTTGATTTACCCACCCCTTGCTTTTTTCTAACCTAATCCTGTAGCACCGAACATCACGCGTTGAAGTAGCTAGTGGTTGGACGTGCGTAATACATGTCTCAACCAACCTAGCCCATGAGAAATCACTACCTCATCAACCGACTTGTCATTTTTGCCTGGTATCCTATACATGACTTCAACATTTCTCACTCACTGGTCCTAGTGTACTCAAACAAAGCTTCTAAGACACCTGTGATCGAGTACTAGCAACCTACGAACATCCTTTTTTTAAAGGTCAAGCTTAACTCATATAATGTAGAATAGAATACCTGTCCAGGGAGGCGTTTTTTGAGAAATTTTATACACATAGTTCCCTTTATCATTTTGAAAAGAGCAAGAACAAAGATTCTAGCAGAATAGCATGAATTCATTTTATTTCGTAGGTTCTCGTCAGCTGCTTACAACCTGTGATATTTAAAAATCATAATTACATAATGGGTTTAAATTGCTAACTGAATATTGTAAATATATACCTAATGTGAGAGAATATTCTACAACATTAATTGTGACAACAGTTCAAAAGTGGGTTAGAAACAATCGATTACATAATGAATAACATTGAAGGAATGTAGTGAGTAGAGTTCAGTTGAAAGATTATTAATTTGAAAGATAGTTGAAAAAATAAAAGAGTCAATGATGTAATAAATGCAACAAAAATTTTTTTATGGTGCAGTGAAGGAATATATTTGTCACCAGGGCAAGGAATGATTAACCACCATCTCCTTTTGAATACATAGGTCAGGTTTTTGACGCCTGATGGCAATGGCTTCAGTAAACTTCAGAAGACTGGAGTTTGGCTGCTTACTAATCACCCTAAAGGATTGTAAGGTATCTACAGGTAATCTTTCAACTGAACTCTACTCACTACATTCCTTCAATGTTATTCATTATTTAATCGATTGTTTCTAACCCACTTTTGAACTGTTGTCACAATTAATGTTGTAGAATATTCTCTCACATTAGGTATATATTTACAATATTCAGTTAGCAATTTAAACCCATTATGTAATTATGATTTTTAAATATCACAGGTTGTAAGCAGCTGACGAGAACCTACGAAATAAAATGAATTCATGCTATTCTGCTAGAATCTTTGTTCTTGCTCTTTTCAGAATACCTGTCCTTCGGCTGACCGAGAGATATCTCACGTACTTTACCTCATTGATAGCGGTCATGCTGTAGATAAATCGAAATCATTTCGAGTTATCTATCGTATACCTACATCATTTCCCAACGGAGTTCGTTCTCGCCTCCTACATATAGCTGAAGCCATTGGAATTCGTACATATAACCCCAATTTATGTGTACAGAAGAAATACGTGACCCCCCCCTATCCCTTCCATGGCCAGTTATAACTTAACTAACGAATTTTTTTTATTTTATTATTACCATTATTTATTTTATTCTATTTTGTTATCATTAACCTTATTTCCACATCCATTATTTGTTTGTAATTTTCCGCCTCTTTGTATTCTTCACTATCTAATTATTTACACACATCTTATTACGTAATGATTTTAATGTTTTGTGATTACTATTCCTAGTGTATTTACCCATGTTTGACCTTCTATTTCCAACGTTTTGTTATTGTATTTTATTATTCTTACTATTATCAGTTCACCTGTACAAGTTTGTAGTAACAAACTTGTACTTTTACCTATTATGTGTAGAGACTTATTCTATTTCATTGTGATTATTGACCCATATTGCCTTGATTGGTTTACATTTTCGTATAAATATTCATGTATATTAGAGTAAAGCCTGATGACGATCTAATCGAAAACAATTGTTCGCTTATATGTGTTGTTCTAATGAATAAGTTACCAAGCGGGCTGAAATATTGAATGTGAAGTTCTTTAATTTAAATGTTTGTTACTCATTGAATTATTTTGAAACGTCATTCATGAAAAAAATACCAGTAATCAAACACCTAAATGATCACTTATCGCAACAAAAAGACAGTACATACTTTATGAAAGACTGATTATAAAGTTTATCTTATCAGGTAGTTTGTGTAAATCTGATGAATTCAACGGTATTTATCATCAAGATTGATTGAGAATCTTGGAAGACCGCTCAATAAAGAGATGTTTCACCCTACTCTTGGACTTTTCTGTAACGTAAACCCATACATCCATATAAGGTAAACTCAGGGTTTGGTTAACTGCATGAGTCATAGCTTCTCAAAAGGAACGTTTTGGGAAATTCTTCTCAATCTCAAGTACTCTTTGAAATATACTATCCTCAATTTGCTGCATGTTTTATAGAGTCTAGTTTCATCATGATTCTGCAGAGTCAAGGAGATGAAATGCTTGAATGCAAAAGCTACCCATCACTTCTTCATCATCAATAATCCTATGTATAAGGATAGTTCGATAATTTTGTTGTTTGATTATATTTTCCTTGAAAAAGCTTGGACCAGATTGCCAGGCGAAACGTTGGATTTACTTAAAATTCATTCGCTGAGATTTTACAAATATATTCTTCTTTTTAATGTCTCAAATGAACTCGGCGCCCAAATATTGTGAAACTATTCGTTTAAATTTAGACGAAAGTTCTTATTTATAAGGATAGTTAGTTTAAATTTCAACTGAAATCTGCATTGAAATTCAAACTTCAACTACACTGTCCCAATCAAGAGAAAATAAGAATGCAGTCAATCATTGATTGGTTTGTTATCCATTTGACTACGTTGTTCAGATGCACTTTATTAGCTTGTCTATATGATTTAAAACAAACGAACAAAAACAACATTGTTCTTTTATCTTTTAACTATTTATGTACTTATTTTATTCACATATTGAACTAATCAATGATTATTTCCCTAGATATGAAATTTTAATGATTATTTTCTTTTTATGCACAGTGACTTTTTAATGTGATAATTATCTATCTTAATGCTTTATGTTAATTAGCATAAGAGAATATCTATGAATTGATAGAACACAATTAGATATAGATAGACCAAGACGTTTTATTAGTTAGTTAAAGTCATTGTCTAAATGATATCTAAGTGGATAACGCGATGGCATTTGAAGCAAATGGTATTGGGTTCGAGTCCCAGAGTAAACATCAACTCTCTGAGATGCAGGTACATCCAGCTGACGAGTGCCAAATAGGACGAAACGCGCGTCAAACTGGATTCCACTGCTAGCCACTATCCATCATTGCCTACAAATAGTTTGTGAATTAAGGTAATATCGAGGCATACGCACAGTATGCACATATGCCAATAACAGACTGATCAATTGCAGTCTAAAACCTCAATGGGAAGATACAAGCCAAACAATACCAAGTGAATTGAAATTCACCCCATTGTACAAGCAAGTGGCTATCAGGACTCAGACTAGGCTGGAACCAAGACAACCGTTCTAGACTAATAAGAGTTAAGATTATTATGAAACTCAACTCAAGCTTAACCTCGTCAATCGGAGAGTATAAATTGTCAAAGCTTAGGATGCCAGGTGATAGCCGAAATAGTGTACGTGGGTTAGAGAAATGTTACAGGATTCTAAATTAGCGAATCACTTCTCAAGATATTGACTGACATCTCATTCATAACACTAACACTGTTACGACAAGAAAGGAATCGGTTTGAACTAAAGACTAAATTTAAATATGAGATATACACTTAAAACAAAGAAGACTACTGTCCTAAATATCTGAAAAAATTAGACGGAAACAGAGGGTGAACACAACTTTTACACACTTGGATCCGATTTCATAGGTTGACAATGTCAAAAAAACAAATTACCAGATAGGAATAATAGAGATTTTATTAAACTCTAAAAACCAAACTTACCCAAATTCAAAACTGAAATAAAAAGATTGTAAGCTCCTGAAGTGAATTTAAAACGTTGATTTGAGTTGTGTTCTTCATTATTTCTATCAATCTGTTTTTTAAGAAAGAAAAAGTCAGGTGAATAAAACAACCAACATTAAAATCTGTAACTTTGAAGACAAGAGTTTGTTTATATGGGTCGTATTGGTCACACATTGATCTTAAGTACGGTAGCATTGTAAACTAGAAGGCACGCAAAGGTGTCTTCATTCTAACATGGGACTCTCTAGGTTTACCCATCCCTAACCCTACAGTCAGGAATCGAACTAAAGACCTTCTGTCTGACACGTAAACGATTAACCTCAAGACCTCTGAGCCGACACCCAATAATGTACATATCTAACTTCAGTCAATGTTGCGCGATCATCCTCCATAACGTGCTGTGGATAAATTTATCAAACCCGACACAGATTGAACTCTCCTGGTTAAAGCTTCTCACCAGAACTCCAAGAACTAGATCATAGACAGTTACTCACAGATGACAAAAGATGATGATCGCTCATTATCAAGAACTGATTGAAGTTAGATATGTATACCACTGGATGACGGCTCAGTGGTCTTAAGGTTAAGCGTTCTTGTTTGGGACAAAAAGTCCTGAATTGGATTCCTGGCTTTGGGGTTGTGGATATGCATTGCCGAGGCTGTAGAATGCTTCCAGGTGTTTGGTAGTAGTTTGACTAAGGTCACTCCGTGACATAAAATCTATGAAGATTGTACAGTCTTCACAAACCCTTAATGTTAATAATAATAAAATAATACTAGTTGGGTAGTAGTGCTACCCAGAAATGCTATCGTTCCGCAAGTGATTGCAAAAATTATGTCAAATAAACAACTCAGTGACTGAAAGAAGGAGGACTTACTCAATTTCAGTAATCATTTGTAAAAACTGAAAATATGTAGATCAGCAGTTGTCAGATTACATAATACATAATAATTAACAAAATGCTTCGATGGAAATTAAATGTAATGAGAGTTGAAAAAGAATGGAGACAAACATTAGGATGATGCATGGACACAAAAGTGGCAGAAACGTAGAAAGCCAGTGAAAGTGGATTTACTCACTTTTGTTTGATTTCAGTCAATAGTCAAATCTGAGATAGATAACCTACAAACTTCTCTTGGTTACATAAGTCAGGTTTCTGGATGAGAACATAGATAGCTTCTGAGGTGTGCAAAAGACTATTGCGTAAAACATGGGGCAAATTTGATGAAAATCTGTGGATAACTTTGGAAGCCTCACTAAAATCCATATGATGTTCTGTCTTAACCAAGTGAATGAGAATAGATTTCACAATAAACTTTAACTGTCCTTTGATTAACCCGTCTGAATGGTATTTTACAGTGCGAAGTATACCCTATCAACTAACTCTACTGGAACAGTCAAACTGTTAAAAGTATATCGATGTGGCGAATTCAAGCAGTCTGTCTTTGTTGGGGGTACTTGTCATCCAACGATTGTAAAAGACATACAGCTTGGGTGCAGTATGTGTTTCTTGCACAGCTTCTCTTAGCTTTTATGTTAGCATTCCACTGACTGTATCGTTTTAAACTGTAACTTTGAGAAAAGTATCTTCTTTGGAGTAATTATTACCATCGGTTTTATTTTTGTCTCATTATTGTGCATGCTAATGAGTTTAATGGGATATCCATTCTTACTAAGAAGATTTTTTCACAAGTAATTACTGTAATCTCTATAACTATCTTATTTTCCCTCTTTCAATCACTTAGTTATGCATTCGATAAAATTTTCATAATAAATTGTGAAATGATAACATTATTATGTAACACAACCACTCGACTAGTATTGGTTTGTCACTATAAATTCAATATATAAGTTGATATAGAGACAATGATGAAAAAGTGATTGAAAAGTTATATTATCGTTATTACTGCTGAAGTGTTTTTTTCTTAATAATATAACTACAAAATAGATAAATACCTTCATTTTCACATACACAGACGATAATCAATGTGAATATTGGAATTCATTTTAATGAAACTTTAATGGTTTGTTTCTTATTTATGTATACATTAATCTGAGAAAACAATAATAACTTACATTGATGGATCGATTATCAGATAAATGAGTCAAACATGATTTGCGAGAAAATAACATCAGTGTTGAAACATAAGTGCTATCCTCTAACTAATTTGATAATTTTATTGAGATCACGACCAATCTAAGTTAGATAACTATCAAAAATCCCGAAGCACCGGGTAGCCATTTAGTCCTAGTACTGAACTTCTCATGAGTGTATATTCACCACCCGAGACCGAGAATCTAATCCAGGAACTCCGGTGTCCCATGCGAACACGTCAAGATCATTGGGCGAGATCTACTGGTGTGGTAGTTTAACTTTACTTCATTCATGATACTGGGAGACCATCTGCCAATATTATGAGTGGGTAACGGCTTCTCACTCGATATGATTGACTTTTGTGCTGGTAACTAATTTTGAATGGTAGTTTTGAAGTCCTAGCGAAAAATTGTGACCAACAGTGAGATTAAAGGATAGTTGTGTAATATCGCAAATTAATCGAAATTAAAATTTGAAATTAACAGATTCTGGTTCCGTAGCCTAGATGCTAGGCGTTGGTCACGAAACCTAGAGGATTCAGGTTTGATCGTCTATGGGGTAGTGAATGTTTACTACTCAAGCGTCCCACATAATAGGACGAATTAGTAGTCTAGTGCTTTCAGAGTTTTTATTGGTTTTCAAACTACAGTTAGTTTTTAATGTAAATTATAATACATAATACTAGTTACTGCTAAGTTTGTAGTGTGATACAGTACAGTATTGTATACCTACCTTAGGTCCCAGAATACCTTTCGTACTTTTATCATCTAATGATAAATGAGTAATACAGTCTTCATCAATATAAATCTCATTGATTGGATGAACCGGATTTCGTATTGTTGTTAATGTTGTTGTTATTGTTGCTGCTGTTGTTGGTACTACTGATAACTGTTGTGATGGTGTATTATAAATATTCAATGTACATTCTGGCTGTTCTAAAGAGTTTTCAATTGCAATCGATCTCATTGGTTGTGCTATAGTTTCAACATCTTCGTTTAAACTACCAGGATCAATCCAATAATTATTATTGTTATCGGTAAACTCATATTCATATTGCATTAAAGAATTCAGTTTATTTATTGTTGACCTGAAATCTAACTCCAAGGAATTATTTAATGAATTATTCACTGAATGTTCACTATCTCGACTTGGTGGTAGTGTAGATAAACTGTTGTTAAACTTAAGTTCAATATTATCTGAAATATCACTAGATAATAATATATTTGTTTTATCGGTAAATGTAGGAGATATAGTTAAATCATATGGTACGGTGTCATCATTAGGAGCAACACTTGGAGTAGTAGTAGTAGTAGTGGTAGTAGTAGTAGTAGTAGTAGTAGTAGTAGTAGTAGTAGTAGTAGTAGTAGTAGTAGTAGTAGTAGTAGCATCACTAGCCATATAATCGTTATCGTTGTCAGCATTTCTTTCAAGTAATCTAGATAATGAAGAGTTTTGAATTCCTAATGAATCAACCGCCTTTGAAGGCGAATTTATACCATACATCGGACCATAGCCCTCTTCTTTATAAGCTGTGATCAATAAAATTGTACATGCATGGTTATCTTCAATAAATTCACCTTTATATGTCACATCTAACTGACTAGTAAACTCGGATCGAGTGTCAGTATTGAATGTATTATTATTATGAATAGGTTGAATTGATTTCTTTACATCGATTGAGCAATTTTCACTTAGAGGCTTGATAACACTGAGACTCGTTCCGTCCGAACAATATTTGTTTACATTTGAAGATAATGATGCGGCGGTAGCATTCATAAATGGCTGCTCACTATTAGTTCTCTGGTCATGTGGATACTGCAAATGGTTAATTTTGGTCCAAAGCATATCTTCATCAGTTGCTTGTAGTAATCCAGTCAAGAAAGGGTCATCAAATCCTAGTAAGTTAACAGTTTTCTCAGACAAGTCGATGCTACGTGGTTGATGACAGTCCTCTTCATGATGAGATGCAATCAATGGAACTGTACATGTATGTTTATTTTCGATAAATACATCCTTGGATGTTAAATCTAGCTGATTAGTAGATTTTGTATCCTTTTCGAGCAGACTAATCAATTGTCCAGCATTATCTCTAGTTTCCTTATGAATCATACTGACAGATATTTTGAATATTGAACCTTCTGTATTATCTGGTATTGGTACTTTCAAAACAAACTGTTTTACTGAATCAATGGGAAATAATGAAGAGTGTTCTGTAAAAGTATTATTTTCAAGATTATCATTTACATTTGATAATGAACTTGAATTTGTAGTAGATTGGTTTGAAGATTGAGCAACGGCAGTACCTGTAGTTGTAATAGGTTCTATTGTCATGGGATTATCAGACGAGGTCAATGTATTTGGATAAGATTCGTTATCATTATAATCTGGAGTGTCTTCAATAGTTTGTTCTAACTCGTGGAATTCACCTGAATTTTTCGGTGGAACAAAATAATTACTAGTAGTTTGTAAGCTGTCATTATGTCTTTTTTTGCTGGGTGCATTGATGTTCTCAAGATCTCCATGGTGAAACTGTCTTTCTAAAGGCATGTCAAAAAATGTTTTTTTGAAATGATTCTTAGTTTCATGATCCATCTTCAGTCTAGAATAGTTATTTGTATTTAACGATGACAAAAGACTCGATGTATTCTTCTCTTCGAGTGAATAGTCAGTAATTGTGTAATCACTCAGCAATTCATTTGGTGTGGTTAATAATTTCATTTCTGCAGTTAAACTGTCTTCATTTAATATGATATTGTTAATTAAAAAATTTACAGGCTTATTTTTGATTAATAATGGAACTTGTATGGATGAAGAACTTACTGTGTCAATTATAGTTGGCAAAGTGTTCATGTCCTCTAATGAACACTTTTGCAAAACATCCTTAACTCGAGAGTCAATAGGATCATTCTCTGTTTTAATGACTTTATTGAACTGAGCGTCGATATCCAGTACATTATTATTGAGACTATCAGAGCTAATCGATAATATTCTTACTGACTGAGTTAAGTTTGTCAAATCGATTGTGGTATTCTCACATAACGGTTCAGTAACATAGAAATTCGTTCCATCCGTATAATATGTATTAACATTTGAAGATATCGATTCAGCGGTACTAGTCACAAAGGGTTGCTCACTATTAGTCAGTTCATCATGTGGATCTTGTAAATGGTCACCTTTGGCCGAGCTGACATCAATGGAAATATCGTTCTCGTTCAAGGAAAACTTTTTGTTGTGACATTTAGTAGGTGTATGAAACTTATTGCCTGAAACCTCTACGTTTTCATTATGGGGTTGTAAAATTGTCCATGACTGACTTATTTCGTCTGAAGAAACCTTTTTCTCGGTTGGTAATTTGTTGATTTCAAGATCAGTGGACAGTTTTTCGCTGTCATTTGACATTCCTTTGGTTAGTTGATCAAAATCATATTTCGTTTCCGATGAATGATCTATCTTATTGGTAAGCTCATTTGATAATACCATCGTCCAATTTTGACATGAATTATCCAACAAATAATTGTCCTTAAAGGTTCGGGCATTATTCAAATCTGATTTCAAATAAAATGGTTTCATATATTCATGTGATGTTTCCGTAATTGATGAAAAGATTTGTTTCACCTGGATTGACGGCACTGATTGATCATTCACTAATTGGTCACTGATGGACCCATTAAGTGAACCGACACTCAATCGTTCACCTATGTGTATATCATGTGCATGATCAAGAATAATTAATGGATCCCTCTTTTGTTGTTTGAATAATGTAGAAACTTGAGCGGACGATAATTCTGTGATATCCTCAATAATTCGCGTCGTTGTCAATTGTTCACTGGGCTGCTTAGGCAAACATTTATTTGTAAATTGTAATTGGTTAGTTTGATGGTCAGTAACAACGTTAAGGTATTCAGGGTTTTCCGCATTATTGTCCAGTGACTGAATGAAACTTTCATTTAAATCATGGTTATTTTCAGATGTATCAGTACTCAATGATATTGGCAAATGAGTTGTACATTCTGACTCCATCAACGACTTTTTTAAAGTTTGTATGTCGTTTATAACGCAGGGATTCATATATGAATCAAATGTCGAATTATTCTCACATTCTACACAAATTAATGATAAGTCCTTGGAAGAGTTAACGTTAATGTCTATTTGTGAATTGATCATCGTCATTTGATCTGTATTCAACGGAGTTGATTCATTAGGGTAGGGATTTTGTTGTTCTAATGTAGGGTATATCATAATCCCTTTGATATCTTGATTTATTTGAAGAGGATCCACATTCAAACTACCATTATTGTTTATTAAATGAGTACCGATAGATCGTTTATAATCAGTAACTTTCACAGTGGACAAACTATTTTCAGATTTATCATTTATATCATATATTTTTGTAGTAGGGAATATCTGAATTACATCACATGTTGCAGATATTCTATAAGGTAAACTATACTCTGACAACATACTATTATTTTGCACAATTCGCGAAATTAATGAATTTTGTTGAAAAGTCGAAAGTTGTGTAAAATCTTTAGAGGATGCGTTGTCACTATTATTATTATGTGTTTTCGAAAGATAAATTGACGAAACATAATTTTCTTGAGGAGAATTTTGCTTTGATTTCGAAATACGAGAGTGTAATGATTCGTTATCATTTTTACTCTCTTCGAAAGAGGTTGAATTTGAACTAAAAGGCTTCAAATCCAGTGTACAAGACATTTGGCTTTTCATAGGACCATTAAAGTTGTGAGTTACATTATTATTATTATTATTACATAATTTTAAAGCTTCACTTGTTCTAAGTTCGTTTATATTACTAACTGAAGGATTTGATAGTTGATCTGCAAGGAATTGTTCAGAATTACATTTTAATAATAAAAATGTATCATTTTGCACACCGGCTTTTTGGTTCAAAGGAATACAAGTTAATCCATGTTCATTTGATATATTAGTTGTAGTATTGGTATTATTATTACTATTATTATTATTAGTAGCAGTAGCATCAGTAGGTTGATTTGATTTTTCTAATTTGAATTCTTTACTCCGTTGACCATCTCCTATTTTTAACGATGACCATGGTGATAGTCTTATCTCTGAAAACTTTGATGCATTTATTGGACTTGTGATTGATTTCTGTAATCGTATCTCATTTGTTTGATCAATATTATTATAATCATTATTGTTACTATTAGTGTAATAATCGAATACTGGACTCTCTGAACATGATATGAGATGTTGTTGTAGTGAATTAGTACAATCTTCAGTAGCTATTTGACTCATACTCCATAATTCAGAGTCAGAGAAGTTCGGTGATTGAGTCGGTGTAACTTGTAAACATTGTGACTGATGATAAATATCATCATTATTTGTATCTTTGACAGGTTGTTCCTTCACATCTACGTGAATACTTAAACAACTTAGATTAAATTTATCAGTAGTACTGTATGAACATGATGGTTGTTTTTGTTGTTGAATTTCAAGTATGCTCAGATTACTTACACTATCTCCTGAATGTTCAAATAAACTTTGTCCAACATCATATAAGGTTTTTACAGATTTAGCTAGTTCTAATTGTGACTGTGTTCCAAATTTCTCACTAATAGAATGAGCATCTTTTTTACGTTTGAATTTGAATAGTTTTATAAACCTTTTTGATGGTATACAGATATGATCAAGTTCTTTGAATAGGAAATGTTTTTTGGGTGACAATTTAATCTTTCTTTGATGATGTTTTATTGTATGATTTGATGTAATGACATTACTGTACTCTGAGCCATCATTGATAACACCGGTTGATTTATTAATACGGTTTGATAATTTACAAGATAATATAGATTCATTTAGAAATTCACACGATTTAATTTTCGATTGTTTTTGCGGAATACACATTTGACTTTCTTTAGAAATAAGGTCGATTTCAACGTTATGTTTACTACGTTTTTCCAAAAAATTTTCATAATGTGATGTTTCGTCAATTTGACATTTAACTCCACTATTATTGTTAATAACGTTTAATTGACTTCCAGATAAAGCTGACCAACAAGGATCTAATCCAAACACTGTATTGTATTGATGTTTTCGTATAAAACATCTTGAATTAACTCTTCTAATACGATTAAAATTGTTTACATGCAAATGTAGATTAGGCGTAATGTCACGAGATTGTGTGGGTGAATGTTCAAACTCAGATGCTGATTGGCTTAGACGTTGTCCAATCGGATATATCGTGTCTAAAACACATTTTATTCCGTTGATTGGTTCAATACCACTGAGATCAGACCAGCTAGTTGGAGTCGAGTCACTCTGACCAGTACTAGTTATTCTTACTGCTAATGGTTGTCCACGCAGATCTGTGATAGACATCCATCGACTAATGTAATATTCTGTGGGCGTAAATAGATATCTTGATAAATTATCATTAATTGACGGAATATATCTATCTGAAGTTTAAAAAATCAAAAAACAAAGTCAGAATTCATTGGGTCTGTCAACAAATTTTTTATTACTAAATTTAAACTTATTGATTTTCAAAGATAGATTTTATTATGCGTTGATATCAGTTGAAAAAACACTGAAAGCTAGGTTGAACTATGTAGATGAATTACACTAGTACCAGATAAATCAGTACTGTGCACACAACACACCAAATGTGATCGATCCTCAGGGCTTTCAGGCTACCTTACGAAAGAGATGAATGGTGCTTGTAATGACATTTAAAAAGAAGTTAAAATTACAATAGAGCTGAAATTAATGTGCATTCATTAGTTATAATGATAAACATCTGTTTAAGTAATAAGAAACGACCGGTGTGATTTCATCTTTTTAAAGTTGATTTTCGAAGAAACATTTCGACATTCAATAAGTGCATAATTCATCACTGTCTTAGTTCCAATAATTAATATGTTAATTTTTCACAGTAATTAAGCTCCAACTTTTTTTTAAATAATCAAAAACCTGAGATTAATGAGCACATTACTAATAATTCATGATTACTGATTATTCACTAAGTAATAATATTGTTGAATGTATTCGACTGTGATTCATGGCTTCAACTAATCTCTTAAAAATATTTTGGCTTATGATTTCTTAATGAAAAACGGTTATTAAATGAAGCGATTTACTATATTGTTACTACACTAACCACGTTGTCATTTTTAAGTGACTCTCGAAGTGACCTTGAGATTTTGATATCTTACTTGCACTAGCCAATCAATGAGCGAATGGATAAGTCGTGATTATGCAAGACAAAAGATGGGGAAATAATGTCAAATGTAAGTGAACAGCTAAATGTAAGAAAGACATTTATCTAACAGAATGACTGAAAAGGAGAAAAAGTGATTGAATGTGGCTTCATAAAGTGTTACTGATTTCCTGTCATGTTACAGAGCGTCTTCGACTGTAAATTGCAAACATCACGTACAAGTCTACTGTAAAATCTGTCCTTCCTTAGCATGGCTTCCGTAAGTGATACCATGTCTTCGTTTTTGTATTCTTCTTCAATGAATGCACTTAGTAGTTATTACACCCTGGCTAATCTAAGTGACTGAACATCATGTGAACTATGTTACGTTAGGTGTTTCACTCTATGTTCGGTCTTCTGGATTAATAACCACGTTGCGATGACACGTGTTTTTGTCCCATAAACAGCATCAGTTCCGTAAATATTACAGGCACGTCCTACTCAAGAATACAAAATAGTAAAAACCTGTGTGAAACAGCGTTTTCTACTGACTGCTTCCAACCGCCTAATAGTCTAATGATACTTTCTAATATTAATAAACACTTATGAATTTTTAACCCAATCTTACCCTAGCTTACTTCGATAAACGAAAATAGGCTATAGATAATCTCATTTCTGTTATAATTTTTATATTCACTTGTTGTAAAACATTTCTGAAAATATTTTGAACACATTTTATTTTAGAAGAGGTTTGTGGAGATTTTAGAAATTTCACAGATTTAAATCATGAGTCAGTTGAAGCTAGACCACCATTGAAAACCTAGAAGCACTGGACGGTCGTTTCGTCCTAGTATGGAACTCCTCAGCAGTGCGCATCCACGATCCCGCACCACGCGGAGCTCGAATCCAGGACCTACTGGCTTCGCGCGCGAGCACTTAACCTTTAGACCACTGAGCCGGCATCCAACGGTGTTAATTTCTAAAATCTCCACAAACCCCTTCTGATAATAATCATCTGCTCACTAGTGACTGACTTCAAGAGATACTCCTGGAGTTCTAGTGGGAAGCCGTTACCAGTGGAGTTCAACCAGGTCTGTTGTGAGATATCAGCTCACTGAAGACAATGGTATATGGTGGCTCAACTTCGTAGATTGGCTGAAGTTAGACATTAACACTGTTGGATGCCGGCTCAGTGGTCTAAATCACTATGTTACATGAAAATAGAGTAATGAATAGAATTACTGAATGTTTATTTATTTGTTTGTTTTTCTTCTTTTGTAATCCACATACAGATTATCATATTGATTGTAAATTATTTTGACTATATTTTCACAAACTTTAAAATAAATATGGTCATACGTGTAAAGCTGAGAAATAAAACAAAATAGGTAATTTCTATTACTGTTCTCAACAAATCAAATTTTACTTTGTATTCTGTTATTTAGTTGGTATTTATCGAGTATGAAAGAGCTTGCTTAAGTTGAACAAATCGTATTTTCACTAGTAGTCACTAGTTTCAAGATGAAACAACTGAATTTCGATTGAGACGCCGCTATATATAGAATCAAGCAAGGCAGAAGTGTAGTAGTTACCTACAAATGACATCGGATGACTATCGCACTACATCACCAATCGTAACAAATTGCTAATGTATAATATTATCTCCTAATAAAATGTGTGTGTTACTGATACTATCATGAAACATAAATGTTTCTGATTTGATCGTTTATGCTGTGGCAAAGTTAAAACTAGATCTATTTAAGTTGCTTTAGTATCCCAAAGTCGGTAAAAGTTTTCTCCATATGATATCAGTTTATGAGTTAAACTTTCTTAGCACCTATATGAACATTTTTCAGAATTTCAGCAAATAGTTTGATAGAAATTTAATGTCAAGTACATTAAAGACATTATATACATAAATTACATATGAAGAATTATCGAATATACTTTTTAATTGAGATTATTCTCTGAAGAAACTTAGATTGATTTGTCGTTTGAAACGTTGGAATGGATTAGAATCGCTGAAAAATCCCCATTATATTAAAACACAATTATATAAACGAAGAACATTCTTTTCAATAATTTCTCATCAGGTTCTACAATTATAAATCCAAATTAATGATCCATAAAATTGGCCAAGTTTAAGGCAGAGTACATCATTTAATTATTTTTATCTAAACACATAAATAGGGACACTGAATACATATGTGTCACATAAGTCCCTTGATTTGTGTATAGGCTGTGATACTGTGGTGTGAGCAACTTATATTGATATAAGTAGTATATAACGTGCGTTAAAAGAACGTAATGTCTGGCAGAGGAAGATGGTGAAGATCAAGAAAGGTAAAGCGAGGACACAATGGAATTTGTAAGAAATGCATGAACAATGGAATGGTAGACAATGAATTGGTGTTTGCACCAGAAACAGTCCAGTTTGGTTTGATGCATGAATATTTTGCAAACTGACGATTTACCATATAGTATTCAGATTTTGTTGAGATAGACTGTGATTGTTCTTCTAAATACATCCGTTTGTCGCCACCCGTGTTCTTGTTCGCTACAATACTACCCAGGTGCCCAGACCGAAGTTGGTGATTTTTCTGGAAAGCCACACCCGGAGTCTTTGACATAGAGGTCTGATCCACAAGAGAGTGGAGCAACGTGAGGAGATGCAGTCACATGGTAGCCGGTCACCAACTATAGGTTCATATGCCATCCCTCCCCACAATTCTGGGACCCATGTGTAATGTCGGCTTGGAATCAGGGTCTTCCAACTCCCGTGTCCACCGACTCAGTTAAAGCAGTGGACATTCGCTTTTCGTCCTCTCATTGTTTTTAAAAATACCTCTACCTTAAGAGGGAAGGGAGTAGGACTTCCTTGTCAGTGATTGTATGCACGTGACCATATGAGAGCATTTGGTGAGGGAGAGCTGACTCTCCCCACTTTCGGCCGTAACAGGGCATTTGTAACATGAATAAAGGATTGTTTGTCATATAAAATTAAATCAAATACTTAATTTCGACAGTATAATAAGAAGACAAAAATTATCAGAACTATGTTATGATATATTAGAGCAATACATATCGAACAGTCTGACCGCACACAATATACATAATATGTAGAATAATGCGAATTAGGCAAAGATTAGTAGATAGGGGTGGATGCTTACTAAATTTCTCAAAACGGCTAGCAAATCTAGCAATAATAATAATATTAGTAATAATAACAATGGTATGGTATCCTAAACTTATCTTTTTATTTTTATATATAAATGTTCTTAACAAGTATATTCTGTGTGATGAGATTGTTCGAAATGTATTGCTCTAATATATGATCACATTGTTCTGATAATGTTCGTCTTCTTATTACACTATCGAAATCAACAGTTTGATTTGATTTAATTTTATATGACAAACAATCTTTGATTCATATGTTACAGTTTTAAATGATGTACTCTGCCTTAAACTTGACCCATTTTATGGACCATTAATTTGGATTTATAATTGTGAAATTGATTACGTTTCAATGGGTGATATTTGTTCCAAATATGACTTTACCACATAATTTATTAATATGATTATTATGATTACTGTTGCTATTATCACTAAAATTGGTTTTTACATTAGATTTTCACACTTAATCAACGTTAAGTTAGTCTGAACTGACACTTTACATGATTTTCTATTACTCTGATCATCATTTCTTTAAATGAAATATAAATCATTTGAAACTGAACACTGACATCTAAATTAAAGTTGACGGTAAGTTTTGTTGAAAAGTATAAGTTAAAATTGCCTAAATGATAAACCTATACTGATTATTATTAATGTTATCAATAAGTTAGTGGAGTTGCTTTCTCCGAAGTTTATTGCTTAGAAAAACAATAAAACACTTCATAATTAGAGTATTAGGTTTGGAGAATACGATTCCATCAAAATTAACCTTTTCAGTCATAAATCTTCCCTACCATGTCATTGTTGCTGTAAGCCAAGTGAATAATCAACATATTGGTTGGACGGATCAGTGGCAAGTTGCAGTGAATTCATTTTATTTCGTGTACTTTTTAAAACTTGACATTTTAATTGAAATAAATCAAAGATAGCTTTACAAATGTAATATTAATGCAAAATTGTATTTAATTACTTTCCGAAATCACAAAAACCGACTTCATATTCATTCTATACATAGATAGGAAATGAATAAAAACACGAAAATAGAAAAAAAACTGTTGACGTCATCAACTACAACGAACACGTATA